AAGCCGATAAAACTACGCCTCGCCGTGTACATACACAGTTACACGCACACACATGCAACGAAACTACGCCTTGGCTTCCCAGTCGAGCTATCCCGGCGCGCGGAGTGTGACGTAATAATAAAAAACTATATTTATTAGAGAAAATGCCGAATTTTGTAGTGAAAACGTGTAGAAACCAATCTTCCAAGAATAAAAAACAGGATGGAATCACATTTCATACGTAAGAAAAATTATAAACTAATATTTTCAATTAATCAAAATCAAATTTGAGGTGATCGCTTTGTAAACAAAACCTGAACGAAATGCTGCCATGATTATACGTTACAGTTTTACCCTTTTGTTGGGTAGCGTGAAATATAACGTAACGTTATTTTATAAATACATTGTGTAGCATACTTTTACATTATTCGAATATTGTAATGCATGTATAAACAATAACACGAAACATCTTTATTATCTTTTTTCTTTATGTATTCGTATAAATATTTTGGGATGTAATACACTTTATATATTATACGTTTTTTTTTACGATTTCCTAATCGAGATTAAAATCTAAAAGAGAAGTGGATTGCAGTCATTCGTAAATGAACCATTGTGGCAAACAGCTTCCTGCAGCGTGGTTTGTTCGTCTCATTTTCAGAGCGACGATTTGTACTACACAACAAAAGGGTTACGTCGTGTAAAATAAAATGCATATCCAAGGGTATTTTTTTTACTTAACTTAATATAGTTACTTAGGTTAATTTATATTTTAAAGATTCCAATAATTCTTCAGTCGTGCAGACGGTTGAAACACAAAATTACACCAATTTTATTTCACAATATTCACTATGAACGAATTAAAGAATAATTAAAATATGACGCTAACCGCACTCCATGAAATCCCGCCAAAAACTCCAAAGGTTAAGCTTTGTTTTTATTATATATTTTTAACTAAACTTTTATTAGTGTAACAGTTATTAAACTTATAAATCACAGGAACCCCAGATCTTCAAGCGCAGGACCTTTGGCTCACGAGAGGTTGGATCTAGGGCTAGTGTAAAACTAATCTGGACTAGTTTAGAGAATAAGCCTACGATAGTATTTTCTAATATTTTATAACGTTATTAATAACGTTAGGAAATAACGTTATTAATTTTTTTAATATTGGGGTATTATAAATGACTATGGTAACACTGGCTAAGGGTGCGGCCAGAGTGCACTCAGATTCAGACTCAGATTCAGATTTCGAAAACAAGCGCGAGAAATAAACAGTGTAGTCTAAGCAGGTTGCTTGATTTTTCTCGCGCTTTGTTTTCTGAGTCTGAATCTGAATCTGAATCAGGAGTGCAATCTGGCCGTACCCTTCGACTACACTGTTTATTTCTCGCGCTTGTTTTCGAAATCTGAATCTGAATCTGAATCTGAGTGCACTCTGGCCGCACCCTAATGCACTACATACATAAAAAACCGGCTTCACTTTTTTGTTCGGCGGACTCCGTCTTTACTTTTTATTTGGTCTGAGTCTAAAACTAACTAAAATTAGATATCGACTTGTCAAATTCAATTTGGTATTCTGCAATGACACTCTATCTCTAAATCAAAAACTGACGTTGCTAAGTGTCTCAACTTAGATTTAGGTGATTATTTGGTATTCTGAAACGCGTTCTAAATGTCATATTTTCTCTAAAATTAGAAATGTCACACTAAATTTAAGAAGGACCTATGGAGGTCCTCTCTAAATGTAAATGTGAATAATTAGGGCCAATAATTAGGTAAACGATTGCTACAGATCAGTTTTAAACTTATTGTTAGGGTTTGATGTGGGTTTGGTTGGTTAAAAAAAGTTATAAATTAATAATCAAATATGACGTTGATAATAATAAGTGGAAAGGTTCATTTACTGAACTGTTTGCCTCGAGAACTTCTTTTCTATAGTTTGGTTGTTTTAATTACGTGTTTTTGTTTTTCTAAATCTACCTAATGGTGTCGGTGATATGCATTCCAATCACCAATTCCAATCCAAATGTTATTTTGACTTTAAATGTAGCTATTTTAGACTTTAATGTATAATTTATTCCTTTCATTTTAGTGGTTTTGTTTTTATGAAGCAGTTTTTGATATTTGTTAGAAATGTTTTTATTTACCACTTTTTAATAGCTAATCATATTTCTTAAAATAACTAAACACGAACTAAGTTTCTGCTGTTTGTCATTGAGAAGTTTGTTTTTATATATGCGAAAGTACTTGTCATCTTCACCAAATGAATTATTGGGATTTGGGACCATCTCGCTAAAATCTGATTGAAACAATAAAGATTAAAATAGGTTACGCATCTCACGTTATACAATAAATGAGAACAAAATCTTCACAAAACAGCCGAGGGAATAATAACAACCACTTATCGCAACCGCAATTTATAACCGTAGGTAGGATAGATGCGCTGGATTGCGAATTTACGATGCGAGACATTTTCAAAGATGATTCACGTTAGACCGTGTCGGCCGTATAAGAGTTAACTAATATAAAATAATATATTTTACATGGATTATGGACACATTCATGCTATTCCGGGCTGTAACCGACAGACAACCGAGCAACAAACGAACAACGCTCAGAAAAAAACTTGGTCTCGCTTCGGCCCCGCCACGGTCCGTTACATGAACACAGCACCGGCGCGGTGTCTGAAGTATCACTACGATTGCCGGGCAATCGTATTATTACTTCAGCCAAAAAAAAACGACTTTGCTCGGACGGGTACTTAAACCCTATTTACTTTATCTGTATGAGTAGACTGCATCACGGCACAACGGTACCTACCTAAATGCTCGGTCGAGGCACGTCTTTGTAAATTGCAGGTGCGTTACCGGCTCGATGACCGTGCTACGGCTGAAGCTCGGCTGGGACTCGACGCAGTCTAGCGTAACTGATCATCCTTAATAGATTTGTTAGGTACCAAAATCTAGTTGGTACCTATATTTGCATTTTATTTTAGAAGTGGTGGCTTTCCCCAACCATTTGCCAAAAAAAATACTTAGAGCATGCTCTAAGAAAAAATATGAATCCAAAGTTCTCCCCGCAGATTTAATTTCCCTAAGTTCATATTTTTCCCCAAAATAAGGATAAATACTCCCAATCTAGAAACCCTAAGTACCACAGAGTAGGCAAGTATTCACTCTTTACTGATTCATAATTTCTCATACAGTGAAATAACAAGCTTATGTTAAGTTTCCACATTTCAAAGATGATGAAGAACAACAAAGAATTACTGAAATAAGTCGAAATCACTGAATAATAATAATTTATTGCTATTTTGAGTAAACCGATAATTACCGGTTCAATGCTTTTACCTTATCTGTGAATTCAATTTACATGCTCGTTTGCAGCTGTCAACTGTGATCTTAATTTAGTTAGTTCGCAATTTCAGAATACCAATTTACTAAACCTAAACTAAAATTAGCACTCTAATCTTAAGTTTAGGTTTAGAGAATGTAACGCCAGAATTGATCCCATTGTGACGTACCAACAGAATTGCGTAAACTTTTAGGGAACCATTTATTTTATAAACCTATATTTAATTTTATAAGTAACACTGTAGAAAAATTGTAAAATATAAATAATTAATTAATATATTAAGTTGCATGTTCTTAGTAATAAGTTAGGCATAAGGACAATGTATCCATTGCCAATAAATTAAAAAAAATGTTTGTAATCTGTGATCAGTGTTGCCAACTCTACGTCTTTTTACGTAGATCTACGTATTTTAGGCCTTTTCTGCAAACCTACTAACTTCAGTCCCAGAATCTACGTATTTTCTTCAATTTTCTCAAATTTATAAAATAACTTAATTCACTAGAATAAAGAAGAATATTTTCCGTTACTTTACTTAAAAACTATACAAATGTTTATTTCTCATAAAGATGTATCTAAAAACTCTTGTTTCTTGTAGAAAAGGTTCCCGTTTTTGGATTTGTTGACTAAATTAATGCTGGACGCAGGATTTGTTAAAGCAGAAACGACAAAACTCTTTGATATAGTAGGTACATTCATAACCTTAAAATGATTATTTTTAAACTTTAAATCTTATTCAATGAGTACTTGCATTGAATTGATCTTGGCAAAAAGAAATGACTTTCAGTTGATAAAGTTACAGGATTTAGCAAGTTTTTAAACGATTGTGTTCAAATGTAAGTATGTTTATTTCTCTTGGCAATTTAAACCACAACTTTTCTAGAGTCTTTTACCAAGTGTATCATGATAACTACTATATTATATTTGTTTCTTAGGTTTTCACGCACATCACTCATTAAATAAAACTAGTTAAATTAGTTAATAAATAAATAAAGTTTTCGTGCATTAACCCGTAAAAACTAGTTTTATTTAACTACTATATTTTTCATGTGATCTATTAAAAATCATGGTTTTGTAATATTAACTCAGAAAGTTTATTTCCTACGTGCTTGCGAGTGTTTGTTTACAAATGTTTTGACGTCATAGTATAGATAAGTCTATAGATAAATAGCGTTTTTGTATGTCTTTTAGGTAAAAAAAAAATACATTTTTTCGGTCTGACAGAACAATTATTAACAATTTAAAACATAATTGCAAAAAGTGTCAACTAGCCTATTTAACAACATTGCATCCTTGTCATTCTGTATACAGAATGAAAAGGAGAGACTGATGTTAAATTTAGTTTTAAATTTAGAGAATCATGCCAGAATCGATACCTACCAGTGTCTGTGTCTGATGGTAAATGTCTACCACAGCATGGTTAATGCTTCCAATGCAGCGACTTCTCCAAGAACTCTTTGTTCTATCTCCCCTTTTTAAATAAATTGTCCAAATACTCGTTTTATTTGGTTTCTCCTAACTTCTTCATTTCACTCAGAAAAAAGTACGTAGATCTACGTACTTTTCATATGCAAAATTTACCAATTCTACGTAATTTTCTCATCGGGCCTACGCCTTTTTCAAAATCCGAGTTGGCAACACTGTCTGTGATGCTTTTCTTTTCTCTATGAAGGAATCATATGATCTTTCATGTTTTGTTCTGTCTTTGGATTGATTATTATCGAACGAAAGACATCTTTTCCAATAGCAGAACTAAGAACACGGAGTGGTTTTAAATTAAAATGAAAGGTTCCATTTTTAATATTGATGCTGGATACTTGGAGGGATTGTGCCGCGGTTTTAAGTGCGGTATCCTCAAACAATCTGATTACTTGAATTTGGTGCAATGTGAAACATTAGAAGGTATGAGTCCAAAGCTTAATTTCTGAATTCTTGATTGATATTAGACAATTTGAAAAGTCATCAGGCTCGTCTTCCATAGCTTCCTACCATATCTTGTCGATATCCTACAACATGGATGCAGTGGTACCTCTTGTCTTTACATGATTTTGTTCACATGACATTTATCATGTTCCTTATAAAGTTTTCCAATACTATTACTTATCATTAAATTATCGTTTAATATTTACAGATTTGAAACTTCACCTGCAAGGCACAGATTATGGAACATTCCTAGCTAATGAGCCGAGTCCTCTTTCAGTGTCTACCATTGATGATAAACTTCGAGAGAAACTTGTCATTGAATTTCAACATCTTAGAAACCATTCCGTGGAACCACTATCAACTTTTTTGGATTTTATTACATACAGTTACATGATTGATAACATAATTTTGCTGATAACAGGCACTCTGCATCAAAGACCTATTTCGGAGTTGATTCCAAAATGTCATCCTTTGGGTTCATTTGAACAAATGGAGGCTATTCATGTAGCTGCTACTCCAGCTGAACTGTATAATGCAGTGCTGGTAGACACACCCTTGGCTCCATTCTTTGTTGATTGCATTAGTGAGCAAGACCTGGATGAGATGAACATTGAGATTATTCGTAACACCTTGTATAAGGCGTATCTAGAAGCTTTTTATGAATTCTGCAAGCAGATTGGGGGAACTACTGCTGATGTGATGTGTGAAATATTAGCTGTAAGTTTTTTGTTTTGTTTTTGCTGATAATAAGTTATAGTCAGATTCTTGTAATATCTTGTTTGTGTTTTGAAAATAGTCAAAAAGCTAGGATTTAACTAAAGATTCTTTTTACCAGAAAAATATCAAGACTGCCTGTGTATTAGGCTTGAATTTAACCAGTGAGCTTTGCTAATCTAGGGAAATGCAGTAACCTATATGCTACTGAAACTATCACAGACTTGTCGCCTGACCTGTATTACTTCTAGTATATTTTAGACTGCAATATAGGAGACCACCTTTTCAGTTGATAATTACAAAGTCAAAATAAAGTGGTACTTTTACAAGAATCTGAATTTTATTTAAGCTACGAACATCTGAAAATGTTACATCATAAGAAAAGACGACATTTGCTGCTTAAGTATATCTGTTCATATTGTATCTGTTGGCATCTGCTTGGACAGCTACCAGGCTCTTTATTTATATATTTTTTACTACTCATCATTTTTGGTTAATTGTCGACTGTAAGTTTGCTTTTTGTATCTACATTTCCAGACACATCTAATGGCCCAACTAGCATTTTAAGTGTTGGCAGTCCCTAGCTAAAAATAAATGTTGATGAGCCAAAAGTTTTTATGCCATTTGGAAGCTGATGTACTAACTATCTTTTTCATGTGTTTTTAAAAATATATGTGTTCGCTTCAGACCATTGAGACTTATAACACTAAGTGGGCCAGTAGATGTGTCCAGAAGTGATAAGTTATGCCTATATCATTTATTTATTATTAGCATCTAAGGCAATATCAGCATCAGCAGAAAATGATTTTGCATACAAACTATAGTGTCTGAAGTATTGAAAAATATTATAAAAGAACAATAAATAAATTGGCGATTACAAACATGTAATGGACAAATTTTAATAAAAAAACAAAGAATAATACAGTTGTAATGTAAAGTAATTATGAAAGGATTGCTCTCACAGGAAAGAAATTTTAACGACAATTTTTTTTTTGTAGTAGTTAGATATACATTGGATTTTTCATTACAGTTTGAAGCAGACCGCCGGGCTATTATTATCACCATAAATTCTTTTGGTACTGAACTCTCAAAGGACGATCGCGCCAAGCTTTACCCCCGTTGTGGCAAACTTAATCCAGATGGATTAGCAGCTTTGGCCAGGGCCGATGATTATGAGCAAGTAAAGGCAGTTGCTGAATATTATGCAGAATATTCTGCACTATTTGAAGGTGCTGGTAACAATGTTGGTGATAAGACATTGGAAGACAAATTCTTTGAACATGAGGTAAGATTATATATTAACATTAAATTTATATGATTCTTTCCAAAATTCTTATATCATAAATAGATTTCACAGATAGTATCAATTAAAGACAAAAGTCAAATACTTTGAATGCAAAAGTAACATAACTGTATATGTTATCACACCTAAACTGCAGAACTGTTTAGATTTTTATATGGGTATGTAAAATAGGAGATGAAAATGTGTAAATATAATTTGTAATTTGCATCCATTAGTTGTAAGATTCTCATATAAAAATAAATAATTAACTCTCTTTGGTTTTATTACAGGTCAGCCTAAATGTGCATGCATTTCTGCAGCAATTCCACTTTGGAGTATTTTATTCATACCTCAAACTGAAAGAACAAGAATGCAGGAATATTGTGTGGATAAGTGAGTGTGTTGCTCAGAAGCATCGGGCTAAGATTGATAATTACATTCCTATTTTCTAAACATTATTAACAACATTACAAAGACATACTATTGGCATAACTTTGTTCAATAATAAATATATTATGATTTTCATAGTGATTATTATGTAATCCATGCAGTGTTATCCCATTACATCACTGAATACAGATAATTTATAATATCTTAATGTTATTAGTATTTACTGTCTCTATCTGTAAATAGTTTAATCAAATTAATCAAGTTTGAAAATGTAGTAATTTGAGTAATTTATTAATAGGTAAAACTATTTCATAAATATAAAAAAACATATATAAGACCAGTTTAAAAGTAATTTTGAAATATACTGTTCTATTATGATTTATTCACAAACTGATAAATAGTTGTTTGTATCATATTATGTAGCATACACAATGGTGACCTTTTTAATTTAAATTAATAACTGTACACATACAATTTATTATATATTTATTTTTAATGATTGATTCTAATTTATTTTCTTGCACATATCTAATTGATAAAGAATGTTTATAGGCTAGTATTCTAGATTCATTTAAATAAAAGCTATATATATGTTATGATAGAAGTTTTATTTGAATTAACTAATATGTTCTATCTTTTATTAAATATTGTTTTGCTATTTATAATATTACTGTATCAATGCGAGCATGGGGGGTTTGCTACAGTACCAAAAGCAACTAGCGAGAAAGTATTCATATCGCCATCGTTAGTTTCTATGGTAACTAGGCAGCGCCCCTACCGAAAGTAAGAACAAACTAGATCCTTCTTAAAAATAATCCTTTGTATTATGTGGTAGGATTATTTGATAAATCGTTTTTTTTAATCCTAGGAAATTTCTGAAAACACGGATAATAAGACGAATGGTACCGATTCTGGCATCATCAACAGCCTATCATAGTCCACTGCTGGACATAGGCCTCTCCAAATACACGCCACTCAGATCGATCTTGGGCTACTCGCATCCAGCTCCTGCCAGCCACCTTGCGCAAATCGTCACTCCATCGTGCCTGAGGACGTCCTACACTACGTTTGCCTAGACGCGGTCTCCACTCCAGAACTCGTCTACTCCAACGGTTATCGGTTCTTCGGCAAATATGGCCAGCCCACTGCCATTTCAACTTGCTAATCCGGTGGGCTATGTCGATAACTCTGGTTCTCTGTCGGATTACCTCATTTCTGATGCGATCTTTCAGAGAAACGCCGAGCATAGCCCTTTCCATAGCGCGCTGAGCGACTTTGAACTTGTGGATCAGCCGTGCCGTCAGTGTCCACGTCTCGGCTCCGTATGTCATCACAGGTAGGACGCACTGATCGAAGACTCGTCTTTAGGCACTGTGGGATCGACGATGTCAGGACTTGACGTAGCTTCCCAAACGCTGCCCAACCTAGCTGAACTCTTCTATTCACCTCGTCCTCAAAGTTGTTTCTACCTAACTGCAATGTCTGCCCGAGGTATGCATATTTTTGAACAACTTCGAGAACGGCACCGTGTATTGCAATCGGTTCCGGTAGAATATGTTCATTGAACATGACCTTGGTTTAATCCAAGTTCATCCGTAGGCCGATGCGTATAGAAGAGTCAGCCAGGTCATTCAGCATCTGTTGTAGGTCCTGCAGGGTTTCTGCCATGATGACGATGTCGTCTGCAAATCGCAAGTGAGAGATGCGTTCGCCATTTAAGTTGATGCCATGTCGTTTCCAGTTCAGCGTCTTGAACATATCCTCCATTGCATTAGTGAACAATTTCGGGGAAATAACGTCCCCTTATCTCACTCCACGATGCAACGGTATGGGACTTGTTTGCTGATTCTGTACTTGGACAGACATGGTGGCGGCTTCGTAGAGACTTCTTATCACTTGGATGTATCGCCAGTCGACTTGGCAACGCTGCAGGGACTCCAGGACAGACCAGATTTCAATCGAGTCAAAGGCCTTCTCATAGTCCACAAATACTAGGCACAGGGGCTGATTGTACTCCTCAGTCTTCTGTATAATCTGCCGCACTGTGTGGATGTGGTCTATGGTGCCGTATCCGCTCCGAAACCCAGCCTGTTCCGGTGGTTGGAAGTCATCAAATCTTCGCGCAAGACGGTTCGCGATCACTCTTGAGAACAGCTTATAGACGTGGCTTAGAAGGGATATGGGTCAATAGTTCTTAAGTAGGGTCTTGTCCCCCTTTTTAAAGAACAAGACGACCACACGCCTCCGGAGTTCTCTCTTCGAACAGGACAGTGTTAAAAAGCTTTTGGAGCTCCCTCAGTACGGGTTTACCTCCAGCCTTCAAGAGTTCTGTTGTAACACCATCCTCTCCAGGGGCTTTTCCATTTTTAAGCTGTCCAAGAGCAATCTCGATTTCGCCAATACTGACTTCTGGCAGGTCTTCGGTGAAGTGGCGTGTTAATGTGGCTCTTGAATCCTCATTTCCGGGATCAGGTCGAGATGCATGTGATGCGTATAACTGGCTGTAGAAGTCTTCCACTTCCGAAAGGACTGCCGGCTTTGAAGCAACAACTTCCCCACTTGCTGTGGTCAACTTCGTCAGATGGCTTCTTTCAAGAGATTGTACGAACACTTTGGACCCTCGATTCTGCTCGATCGCTCTCTCGATCGAGAGAGTATTGGAGCATCGGAGGTCGTGTCGTACGTGCTAACTGATCTCTTGGTTTAGAGTCCGCTTTGCCGACGAAGTGACGAGTGGGTTTTCACGTCGTTCCTTCATTAGCCCTAAAGTCTCTTCCGAAAGCTTTGACTTCCTGCCCTTACGCTGCGTTGCACATAGTCTCGTACCCTCTTCCCTGCGGGTCAATTAAGCTTTAGTGATATAATCCTAATGTGATGTCAATATGATGTTGATGCCAAGTTGACATTGTTTTTAAATGGTATTATGAAACATTCCTATGTCACATCAAGATCACATCAATATCATATCCTGTATCACATTTTTGACGTTTATGCGATACTGTTTTAAGTCAAAAAGTTGAACGTAATACGCATTTAAGTTGATGTCAAGTTGATATCATTTTTAAAGAATTGATCATAATATGCATAAGTTGATGTCATTTTGATATCGCAGTTTTCGGAGAGCATAATACGTAATATGAAATTGACATCAAAACAATATCACAATTAGCGAGCATAATTGGCTTGCTGGAATCCGAATCACATTTTCGAGGTTTTGGTTTACGTCTGATGTGATTTCCACGGCAGCAAATCGGTTCTCCAGATTTGACTGGAACGTTTCAGATCCTGTTATAGATTGGAGCAAAGTAGGTTGGAGCCTGGATTTCATCAAACGGACGCGCTCGGCCTTAAAGTTGATATTCAGAGAGCCCCGGACGAGTCGGTGATCACTACCAGTATTGAACCTGTTGATCACGGAGACGTCTCTGAATATGTACCTCTTGTCCGTCATGATGAAATCGATGTCATTTTTAGTCATAGTGTCGGGGTTCTGCCATGTCCACTTCCTTTGGGGCTGTTTCTTGAAAAAAGAGTTCATCAAGAAGAGCCCCTGCTGTTCGAGGAAGTTGACGAGCATTTGCCCCCTATGATTTCTGCTTCCAAATCCATGGGATCCTACTACCGATTCGCTGCAATTCTGTACTCCCACTTTAGCGTTGAAGTCCCCCATAACAACGTTGTAGTGGGTCTTAGTAGTGGAGTGGAGGGCCCTCGATATATCATCGAACATATCCTCCACTTCGTCGTCCGAGTGTGTCGAGGTCGGTGCGTACACTTGCACCACCTTGAGGCTATACCTCTCGGTGAGCTTTATAATAAGGTACACTACCCTGTTCGACACGCTGGACATTTCCACAACGTTATCGGCAAGAGACTTATTTACCAAAAACTCAACGCCACCTTGGGACTGTTGGTCTCCCCCGCGGAAGTACATTAGGTGGCCCGATTCGAGGGTTATGGTGTCCTCCCCCTCTCTTCGGACTTCACTTAACCCTAAAATGTGCCACCTAATCTTTCCAAGTTCCACCTCGAGTTGCGCCAGATGCGAGTCAAGCCGTAGCGTGCGTCCGTTGTACGTCGCCAGGGTCAGTCTTTTGTGGTGGCCTCCCGTAGCCCGGAGATTCTTGGCACCCCCCGCCCCACCGTTACCGTGGTCGCCACCGTGACCAGGAATAGCGGGGCTGCCGGGAACTGGGGGCCGTGGCTTGAGTTTCTTGTGCATGAAGGTTTTGCCTATAATCGCCACGCTGGGCAGGCGGGTTGGCGATCGCAGAGCGTAGGTTTATTTACTGATGACGCTGCTGCCCATCACCAGTGACATTTTCCTCCCCTACGTCATTGGATGGTTATACCGCCATCGGTCGGTTTGCCTGAGCCTCGTCTGTTGGTCAACAGGGTGCACCACGTGAAGGTGAGGTTGGCTGGGGTTCTTGCAGGTGTATTTAGAACCCCTTACACCCCGATTCTGGCATGATTCTCTAAATTTAACATCAGTACTTGCTAGGATACACTTTTGTCAAATTTAAGTTTAGGTTTAAAGAAGCATGCCAAAATCGACAACAACAAGATAGAATTTTTGCGAAAAGAATAATTTGTTTATAATAGATAAAAACGAGGGCACCTTACAGTAGTCGCGTATGATGTGTAGGGACACGATATCGAATAGAAAGTATCGATACTGTACTCATGAGTAGTATCGGTAAAAAAGTATCGTACTCGTAAAAGTATCGAAACAAAAGTATCGAGTACATTTCATAGGGCCTTATCGGAGCCTCTGTGGCCTGATGAACACCCCGCCCCCGGGGTTAATGAAAAGTTAATGAAAAGAAAATAGCTGTGATTTCTGACACTACAAAAGTGTTCATTAATATTACATTCATAATTAAAATGTTAATTAAAAAGATCGAAATCTTAAACAATTTAAAAGTATGAAGCTTTTCAGATTTGTTTCAAATTAAACTTATTTTTCTTGAATTTTAATCATTAAAAAACATTGTACCCACTTATGTTAACTTGAATCTGACACGTAGTTAACGGCTGCCATTGGCATGCTTCACTCAAGATTATAATTATAGAAGAGGTTATGTCCGTCTTTTTTTCAGGTGGTTTCAAATAGGTATACACAGCACAGATAGAATAATAGTGTTACACTTGAATAAATCAAATACAGTCAAGCGAAAAGCACAATAAACGGCCAATCAATCACAATTCCCAAT